GTGAGAAGGTGAGTGTATGTGAGATAATGAGTGTATGTAAGGAGAAAAGGGGGTGAAAAAGTGAAAAAGTGAGTATAAAGGGTATTTTGGTCATTTAAAATTTTAAGACTTTAAGACTTTTRCTAAATTTGCTTAATAATATAGTATAGATAAAACTCTTTATGACTTATTAAAGCCCAATAACACCAATGATTACTTATTAACTATTTATAAGCGGTTACTAAGAAACACAAACACACACACTATTATTTATAGATTCAGATATACATATCATATGCGGTTACCAAACAACACACACACACATACATTATCTATACATTCACATATACATATGCATATAAACATAAATACAACAAATATACATGCATCTACAACAATATATACATAGATCCAATTGTTGTTAGCAACCAACACACGTACACATTATGTATATTTATGTATAACACAGACCAATGGATATATATATATATATATATATATAACACATATATGTGTATATATAACACATATAGATGAGAAAATAAGAAAAATAAATAAATCACTTGCTAATACCTCGCCAATTAGCGGTGGATTGACGACAAACCCTATTTGTCGCTAATTAGCGAGGGATTGACTCTGTCGCTAACACCCAGTTTTCTTGTGGTGAACACTTCGCAATGTGAAGACATATGTTCATTAAACATAAACAACACTTCAGTTTTAACTTATGCATTGTTCACAGTGTAAATCATTACTAGCTACTTCATTATTAAGTTCATGCACTTTTTCACAATATGAAACAACCTAATATAATAAAACCATGATTTATGATGTGAAACAAGACAATATGGTCATTCACGAAAATAAATAGATCTCTCACTATTAATTTACACAATTATCATACAAAAATATTCAAATCAATTGACATCTAAACAAAGCCATAATTTTTTCATWCTTTGAAGAAAACAAGAGTAATAAGTGAGTTTAAAGTGTTAAAAAACAAAACAATAAAAATATGTTTTAGGGGCTTATGAAGTTGAAAGTTTAATCATTATTTTTTTTATAATTAAAAATTAACCTTATTCTTTTTTTAAAAAAAACTAAATAAACTGTGAAGATAATTTGAAAAAAAAAAATTACAATTTTTATCATTTTTAAATTAAAAATAGAAAGTTAAATTAGATAAGAATAAATTAAAAATGATGAGGTTATTTATATTTTTTTATAGTTTGTATTTGATTATTATCATATGTATATATATTATATGTATGTAGAGGTTGGTTATTATACAACCCTTGATATTTGTGCAACAAATACAACTCAATCTCAATCTCAATCGTCCATTTCATTTGATTAATATGTTATTTAATAAAAGTTTTGATTGTTTTCAAATATAACGTATTGATCATAATTAATGAATCATATTCATCTTCCATAAATATTTAAATAATAATAAATGAACTCTCATCATCTCCATAAATATCTCAATTTATTAGGTTGTATTGATTGTACAAATGCAATATATTGTATTTGAAACAAACTCTATGTATATAATATAATATATATATATAGGGTATATTTCTTTTACAACCTTGTGCATTTGTACAACCTTGCAACCCAATTAATTGAGATATTTATAGAAATAATTAGAGTTCATTTATTATGATTTGAATATTTATGGAATATGAATAGAGTTTATTAATTATGATTAATACTTTATATTAAAAAACAATTAATTGATTAAAAATTGAATGGTTGAGATGAGGGTTGTATAAGGTGTAGGAATGACAAAGGATGTAGAATAACATCCTTCTATATATATATTCAATGTTAGGGGCATTTGACAATGGAAAGTCAAATTGCAAAACAAAAAGGAGATAAAGCTCTCAAGTGTTTTTCTAAAAATCTCTCCCTACTCTTCCTAAATATCTCGGATAGAAATTATTCGTTCCAAATTCACATGTCTAATTTCTGTCCTATCAATAAATTAAGATATATTATATTTATATTTATTTTAAATTCTTTTAATTCACGTCTACTTTCTCTCCCTCTCTASATGTATTCTTATGATTGGAAGACATGAATGGATATTTGGAATGASTAATTTTCATTCAAATATCTCACCCACAAATAGTAATTACGAAATTAATTCGTCTTCTTCCTTGACCTCTCTAATCGGTTTTTTGTTTACCTCTTAATAGTCATCTTAATAGTTACATTAAGAGGTACTATCTAAATTGTTAAAAGATTAATCTTATTTGAGAAAAAAAAAGTTTGTCTTTTAATCGTTCTAAAAYTCTCTGAATGATTTTGTATCTTGGGCTTTTCTGAACCATTTARCGTTCTAATTTCATTATGAAGAACTATTAAATAACCATATTTCATTTTGCACTATATCATAAATCATCTAAATCATTCTGACCACTTAATCATCCTACACCAAAACATTCAGCTACTGTCAAACAGCCCTTAGTGAAAGGACATGCTAGAACTTTCATATATTTACAAATTTGTCAATCTCTTATTTTAGAGCTATATTTAATAAGTTATGGAATTAAAATTTATTTATTTTCATATATTGAACATGTTCTTGTTTGAATATATATATATATATATATATATATATATATATTAGAAGGGTAGTTGTGCAATGCATCGAGACATATCTCGATTTCAATATCTCATTTTATTATTTATTTATGTCGATATAATACGTTTTTATGTGATTTTAAGAAAACGATAATGTTTTTATTTTTGAATATAATATAAATTCTAAAAATATTATAAAATTTTAAAAAGAGTATATGAATATTAGTATCAAATTAACTATTTAAAAGTT